GCCACCAACAGTCAAGGAGAAAAGTGGCTGTCTTAAATAGGTGGATCTTTTGGACACTGTCATTAAAATATTTTAAAAAATGCAAGGTAGGAAGTGAAATGGTCATTTGAACAGGTGATCGTACTGGACAGATGGTCCTTAAAGACGGTTTGACTGTACACAGATAAACTACTATACTCACTCTTTCTCAAGACGAACGGGCATAAGACTCTTTAAAGCGTCCTTGTACCGAGACATGTCAGGCTGTCTCACAATGCATGCTCCAAAGTCATCATCGCCTTCTTTCTTTCGTGTTCTGTCAATGATTCTAAACAGAAAAAAAGAAAAAAGACTATACTTTGAAGGACTAAGAAAGGACATTTCGTTTAATAAAGAGATGTTTATTTATCAAATTCGTATTCAACAAAGCAGTGAGTGAGTGAGTGAGTGAGTGAGTGAGTGAGTGAGTGAGTGAGTGAGTGAATGAGTGACTGAGTGACTGAGTGACTGAGAAGGTGGGTTTGTGAGTGACTGAGTGGAGGACAAAAGAGACTTCATAGCAATGACTGCTGTTGCTGATGTCATGGGTACCTTTGTTATGATTGTTGATGTCATTGACGTTGCTGTTATTATTCTTGTTGCTGCAGTTATTTTTATAGTCGCCTGATTGGACACTTCGAGTGGAGAAAGGGTTGGGACGAAAGAGGGGGGGGGGGGTTGATTCAGTTGCTTTTTTCCGTAGGAAGTCAGAAGTCGGGTATTTGGGAGGGGGGTATGTTACCTTTCTGTAACAGCACCACAATCCTCAGCGACTCCTTCCATTCTCCTTGACTCCTGTGATACATCTCCCCCGCCGCTGGAGTCACCCTGGTAGTTCTTCAACCGCAGAACCCGGTCATCCTCTTTTTCGTCCCCCATGGTGAATTTAGCATGCCCACAGAAACACAACCAGTAGTTCTTGGCTATGCCAGGAGGGCGTCCATCGGTACTTGTACCTCTAGAGCAGACGGAACCACCACTTGTGGCTGGAAAACAGTAAAAGAAAGACATGAATATTTGTTCGCTTATTTGTTCGGTCGTTTTAGTATTTGTTGTAACTGCCTTTACACAGGCGAGAAGCAGTTTCCGTTTGTTGGTTTCCGGTTTAAGCTAACAGAACATAGCTTTGTCGTATTTCCCATTTAATGCAAACAAACTACACCAAAAAACAAGAAATGTCGTATCATTTTAAGTGTGAGGATGCTCTTGGTAGATCCCATGGAGGGGTATTATTGCACTTGAAATACAACTTGGCACAATACTATATTACGTCATATATGCTTATTCGATGCCCATTTGGGATTTATCATAAACGAAAGTTGATGCAACGTAACAAAACAAAGTTTAGTTTAGTTTCAGTAAAGAATTTTACGATACCTGCAACACACATAGGTGGCGAGGATTAGAGACGGTACAAGAGAGTGTCAGTATCACACAAAGACAAGGAGGAGAGATAATGACAATAAACGCTTGGTAGGAAAGAAGGAATAATTATACCGGAGCACGCGCCTACAACCACCGACAAAACAAATCAACGACAGGACAGGGTAAAATAACGATCACCTTAAACGTTTTAAACACTAATCCACGCAACTGATCATCCTAAGGTGCGAAATGCTATGACCGACCCTGTCTCAGGCCAACCCAAGGTGTGAGACATATTACATCTCTACGAGAAAATGGGAATAATGTATTAACACCTTCCAACACAAGAATAGAAATAACTTTTTTTTAACGTTCAGAACGAAAAATATAACCGATGCACACCAGAAGCCACTTTGTGAGATAAACAGAGGGGGAAAAAAGAAGATAAGAAATACAATGAAATAAGAACTGAGGTATTTGTGTTTGAGCTGTGTGCGGGAAGTCTGGTCTTCAATCTTATTGTTCGTGAAGTTTCGTACTCCAATTGACACGACTAGATTATAACGGGGGAAACGCTTTAACTCTATCCGTCATGGCCACCCGGGCGGGATGCGTGGGAAACTACTACATCCCAGGAGAAAAAATGAAATACTTGAAAAAAAATAATCTCCCCCCCCCCTCCCTAACAGAATCTGAACTCAAGTCTTCTGCTTTGAGTTGTTTTTTTTTAAGCAAAAAGAAGCACATCGACATAATAATTGGTCATAATTAGACCTGGGAAAAAAGTAAGACAGACAAACAGAAACAACAGAGGTAGTCTGTAAAAGCAGGCTATATTGCAAACAGGAACTCGTGCTTCGATATTCAGGTCGTTTTCTTTTGTTTGTTTATTTATTTAAGTATTAGCTTGTTTTATTTCTGGGGAAGGGGGAGGGGGCGGGGTGTATGGAAATATGAAATATTCAGATCAACACAAGTATGATAGCACAAGACAATAAATTAAGTTTCAAGGACAATCGCCATACATTATAAATAACAGGTTGGTATTAAACGTGCAAAACGGAAGGTAGATTTTGAAACTGATACAAACAATATTTTTTACAGAAAACCCCCCCCAAGGATTCTACTATGTAAGTTACAAAGCAGAGCTTGGCAAATTAGTTAACGACCAAATAAAGACCAACTTGTATTGGCCGTTCACGCCAGGACAACATGTACAAGATGCTCTTTACATAAATTATAAATTTAACCCTTCATCCCCTCCCCCTCCCCTGTAAAACGTCTCAACTTCATATAGATTAAATGAGCCAAGTTGATGGATACACGAGTCATGTATACGGAATTTTGACTTACGTACATCCAGAATATTATTGGTTATAGTAAAAGAAAACATTTCTAGAAAATCGTTAAGTTTTGCATAAACGCTCCAGAAGGATCGAATGATCAATCGTATCGAACTTAGCACGGAGATAAAAAAAGTGCACAGATATAGATACTTTCCCACTGTCAACTGCCGTTAAAAGATCATTTAGTAGCTTATTCTTAAAGAGCAGTTTCGATATAATGGGAATCCAAATAAGCCGACAGGAAAATCTGCAACAGGTTGTTACGACTCAGATGAGCTTTAACTTGGGCCAAGACACTATAAATTTTCCAGAATTTGGACAGAAAAGGTACAGTTGAAATAGACCGAAAATTCTTTAGGTCATCCACTGGGAGGTTTTCTTTCTTAAGGAGGGAATAACACGGGCGTGTTTGTAATACGAAAGAACTGTACCTGACGAATTAGTCATCGACAACAATAACAGGACAGTCTACGGTTTTGGAGAGAGTGAACACGGATGAGAAAGAGGGAGGGAGAGAGAGAGAGAGAGAGAGAGAGAGAGAGAGAGAGAGAGAGAAAGAGAGAGAGAGACTGAGAGAGAGAGAGAGAGAGCCTGGGAGAGCGA